GCGATCTCGGCTCACCGCAACCTCCGCCTCCTGGGTTCAGGCAATTCTCCTGCCTCAGCCTCCTGAGTGGCTGGGATTACAGGCACACGCCACCATGCCCAGCTAATTTTTAGTATTTTTAGTAGAGACGGGGTTTCATCATGTTGACCAGGATGGTCTCGATCTCTTGACCTTGTGATCCACCCGCCTCGGCCTCCCAAAGTGCTGGGATTACAGGCTTGAGCCACCGCGCCCAGCGCTTAAACACTTTTAAGGGTAGGCTGGATTTAGGAACTCTCTTCCAAAGAATAGATTATAGAAAGGGAAAAATATTAACTTTACAGTGGAGAAACTTGGCAACCACTCTTTTACACAAGTGCTCAAAATTAATATCACCAGTTTGATATATGGATATCATGTGCCCCGATATGACATGATGAGAGGGCACTTTGCCTCTGTGGTATTCTTTTAAAAATATCCATGACGGGCCTGGCACAGTACTCAAGCCTGTAATCCCAGTACTTTGGGAGGCTGAGGTGGGCGAATTAATTGAAGCCAGAAGTCTGAGACCAGCCTGGCCAACGTAGTGAAACCCTGTCTCTGTTAAAAATACAAAAATTAGCCAGGTATGGTGGAGTGTGCCTGTAATCCTGGCTACTGGGGAGGCTGAGGCAGGAAAATCCTTCGAACCCAGAAGGCGGAGGTTGCAGGAGCCAAGATGACACCACTGCACTCCAGCCTGGGCGACAGAGTGAGACTTTCTTAAAACACAAACAAACAAACACCCCTATGACTAAGTCGAATCATGATACCAGCATCAGACAAGCCCAAACTGAGGGACATTCTACAAAATACCTGACCTATTTTCCTGAAAACTGTCAAGGTCATGAAACACAATGAAAGATTGAGAAACTGTCACTAACCAGAGAATGCTAATAAGATATGACAAAGAAATGCAATGCGGTATACAGGATTGGATCATAGAACAGAAAAAGGGTATTAGTGGGAAAATCTGAGATTTGAATAAAGTCTGGAGTATAGTTAATCATAATGTGACAATATTGGTTTCTCAGTTTTGATAAATATCACATAGAAATGTAGGATGATAATATTAGGGAAAACTGAAACTGGGTGAAGGATATCCAGGAACTCTCTATACTATTTTTGCAACTTTTCTGTAAATCTAAAATTATTGCAAAATAAAAAACTTTTTAAATAAAAAGAAAATGAATAAGAGAATGGTAAAACAGTTTTAAAGCAACAAATTGAACAACTTAGATAAAAACGGCCAAACTCCTTGAAAGACATAAACTACTAAAACACAGGCAAAATGAATAGACAACCCAAATACCTCTATATCTATTAAAGTAATTGAATTTGTAGCCAAAAATCTTCCCACAAAGAAAACTCCAGGTTCAGATGACTTCAGTGGTAAGTTCTACCAAACATTTAAGAAAGAAATAATGCCAATTCTACACAAATACTCCCCCAAAATTGAAGAGAAATGAATGAATAGTTCCCCAATGATTCTTAAAGGTCAGCATTATTCAGATACCAGAATCATACAAAGATAGTACAAGAAAACTAACGACCAATTCCTCTCATGAACATAAATGCAGCAAATAGAAATTTAACAATGTATTAAAAGGATAATATATCATGAACAAATTTATCTCACGAACACATAATTGGTTTAACATTCAAAAACAATCAATGTGGTCAGGTGTGGTGGCGCATGCCTGTAATCCTAGTACTTTGAGAGGCCTAGGTGGGTAGATCACCTGAGGTCAGCAGTTCAAGACAGCCTGGCCAACATGGTGAAACCCTGTCTCTACTGAAAATACAAAAAATTTTCCAGGTGTGGTGGCAGGTGCCTGTAACCCCAGCGACTCAGGAAGCTGAGGCAGGAGAGTCACTTGAACCCTGGAGGTGGAGGTTGCAGTGAGCCAAGATCACATCATTGAACTCCAGCCTGGGCGACTAGAGCAACACTGTCTTAAAAAAACAAAACAAAACAAAACAAAAACAATCAATGTAATTCACCATAGTGACACGCTTAAAAAATAAAAATTATTATTATTATTTTATTTGAGACAGAGTCACCCTCTGCCTGCCAGGCTGGAATGCAGTGATGCAATCTTGGCTTACTGCAACCTCTGCCTCCAGGGTTCAAGCATTTCTCCTGCCTCAGCCTTCCAAGTAGCTAGGGCTACAGGCATGTGCCACCATGTCTGGCTAATTTTTTTGTATACTTCTAGTAGAGACAGCATTTTGCCATGTTGACCAGGCTGGTCTTGAATTCCTGACCTCAAGTGATCTGCCTGCTTCAGCCTCCCAAAGTGTTGGGATTACAGGCATGAGCCACCATATCCAGGCACCCCCCCAAAAATTATATTAACAGATACAGTAAAAGCATTTAACACAATCCAATATTCAATCCTGACTTTAAAAATTTCAGCAAATTAGAAATAGAAGGGAACATCCATGAAAGTGCACTTAGGAGAAAACTGTAGCCAGCATTATACATAATGGTGAAATACTGAATGCTTTTTCCCTATGATCAAGACTATGACAAGGATGTCTGCCTTCACCACTTCTCTTTGCCATTATGCTGATGGATGGCCATTGCAATTAGGCAAGAAAAAAAAAAAGGTATACAAATTGGAAAGAAATAAGTAAAACTGTTTTTTTTTTTTTTTTTTGAGTTCTACTGCTTAAGAAGTAAAACTTAAAAGTGTTTTTACTCACAGATGGCATGATTAGCTATATAGAAAATAAAATGGAATCTGCAAAAAAGCTCTATAACTTATAATGGAGTTTGACAAGTTTGTAGGATACAAAATCAATAACAAAAATCAATTGTATTTTTAACAATAAGCAATCAAAAATTTAAATTTTATTTTTTTATTTTTAAATTTTATTTTTTAATTTAATCGAGATGGAGTTTTGCTGTGTTGCCCAGGCTGGTCTCAAACTCCTGGCATCAAGTGATTCTCCCACCTCAGCCTCCCAAAGTGCTGGGATTACAGGTGTGAGCCACCATGCCCAGCCAGAAATTTAAATGCTAAAAGACAATACCATTTTTTAGTTTTTATTTATTTTTCTAAAATTATTTACTTAATTATTTATTTTTACAATTTTTTGAAATAATTTCTTTTTTTCTAGTCTAGCAGGAAATTTCAGGCAATATCATCTATGATAGTATCAGCAAATATGAAATTCTTAGGGATAAATCTGACAAAATATGTGAAATACCTATACACTAAAAATTATAAAACACTACTGAGAGAAATTAAAGAAGACCTAAATAAATGAAGAGATATATTTTGTTTATGAGATGGAAGACTCAATATTGTTAAGAAGTCAGTTATTCACAATTTGATCTATAGATTCAATGCATTTCCAATAAAAAATTCCACCAGGAGCCATGAGGTGGAAAGAAGAAATATTGAGACAATTCACATTCTCCTGTCCCTCTAGTTATCAGCAAAGCAACTCAGAGAGCTAAACTTCTACCACAACTCAGCAGCAAGAAGGTGGCCACCACGCCTGACCACATTGATTGTTTTTGAATGTTAAACCAATTATGTGTTCGTGAGATAAATTTGTTCATGATATATTACCCTTTTAATACATTGTTGGATTTCTATTTGCTGCATTATGTTCATGAGGGGAATTGGTCGTTAGTTTTCTTATACCATCTTTGTATGATTCTGGTATCTGGTTAATGCTGAAGCAAATATGGGACTCCACCAGCTTTCTATTAAGCTACATAGTAAGAGATTACAAAAGTGTTAAAACAATGACACTCTTCTCACTAAATTGTTCTTGTTTTGGAAAATATATTTTCCATAGGTTATTTATATTAACATTTAATGGGTTCATTACTGTTTTCAAATGAATTAATAAATGTTCAAAAAATTCTCACTTAATTACTAATTTGGTAAATATTGGTAGATGCAATTTGCATAAACAAAAGCTCTTTGGAGGGTCTTCAATAATTTTTAAAATGTAAAGAAAGCCTGAGACCAAAAAGTTTGAGAACTACTACTCTAAGTGGATTCCTCAGGAAAAGCTCATTTGCATGCTTTTTGCTAGTGGCTTTATATCTGAACACAATATAAGGGGATATAAATTTCTTGGATCATAGTTTCTTTCTGTGAAAATCTGGAAAATGTTGTTTCATTGTTATCTAGCATAGAATGCTTCTGTGGAGAAATCTGGTGCCAATCTTATTCTCTCTCTCTCTCTCTCTCTTTCTCTTTTTGTTTGTTAGTTTGAGGCGGTGTCTTGCTCCCTCAACCAGGCTGGAGTGCAGCATGAACACGGCTCAGGGCAGCCTCCATGCTTCAGCCTCCCTAGTAGCTGGGACTACAGGCACCCGCCATCACACCGGCTATTTTTTTTTTTTTTTTTTTTTTTTTTAAGACGAAGTCTCGCTCTGTTACCCAGGCCGGAGTGCACTGGCCGGATCTTGGTTCACTGCAACCTCCCCCTCCTGGGTTCAAGTGATTCTCCTGCCTCAGTCTCTCTAGTAGCTGGGACTACAGGCGCCTACCATCACGCCCGACTAATTTTTGTATTTTTAGTAGAGAAGGCGTTTCGCCGTGTTGGCCAGGCTGGTCTCAAACTCCTGACCTCAGGTGATCCACCCGCCTGAGCCTCCCAAAGTGCTGGGATTACAGGCGAGAGCCACGGCGCCTGGCCTTATGACCAAATTTTATAACGCGTTCTCATCGTTTGCTGGAACGCTAATTAGGTTTTATTTTCACCTTTTTGTTTCCACAGTAACATGTATGGGATTAGTTTATAGTGTTTATTTTTCCTCAATCTTCTAAGTGAGGCGAATTTTCCTGGGCTGCTAGGAAAAGGCTCCTACACCCCTCTCCTGCCACCGCCAGCCGCTCCTCGCCCAGCGAACGCCTCTGCGGGCCCCGCCCACGCCACGGAGCCACGCCCATTCTTTCCGCGCCCCGCCAGGCCCCGCCCTCATCTCGCACACCGCCGCCGCGGCGCCCACCCTCTTGCCTCACCCGGGTGCCAGGCCAGCTGTTGATTTTCCCGCCATTTCCAGCTCTTCGTGAGGAGAACTGGATGATTTCCTGAGGTCTGAGGACTTCTGGAATCACCGCGGCGAAGCGGGTAGGTAGCGTAGCCAGAGAAACAACTGGGAAATTTGAGACAGCTGAGTCCCCATCGCCTCTAAAAAGCAGGCGAGTTTTGCCCTCGGGGTCGCCTTAGTCACCCTCTTAACTGCCTTTTTTATGTTGGGTTCATCCAGTCCACTCAGGGGATGACACAGTTGCTGCCCTTCAGCAAACCGGAGCATACAGAACGGGACTCACCTGCTGGTGAAGTGAGCGTACCGTGAGGAGGACTCCGAAGCTCGTGGCATTGTGGGATGCGTTTGCGTTGAGCTGTTTATTCAGTAATTTTTTTTTTTTTTTTAATCGTAAATCTTGCCTTATGTGGCAAAATACGTTAAAGTGTGGTGCAAACTAGCCTTCATTCATTTAACGGACATCTCCACAAATGACTAGAAAAAAAAATTGAAGGAAAAGACTAGTGGAGAAAAAAAAATTATCTTCTGTTTTGATTATTTTCCCAATTTAATTTTAAGGTAAGCCAAACTAATGAAGATTATACTCTTAAATAGCATATTTATTAAAGTGATTCTCCTGCCTCAGCCTCCCGAGTTGCTGGGATTACAGGCACATGCCACCATGCCCGGCTAATGTTACATTTTTAGTAGAGACGGGGTTTCTCCATGTTGGTCCGGCTGGTCTTAAACTCCCGACCTCGGGTGATCCGCCTGCCTCGGCCTCCCACAGTGCTGGGATTACAGGCGTGAGCTACCGCACCTGGCTGGCTCTGTATTTTTGATATGTCAATTTCCTCATTTAAAAATCTTACGAAGTTTGTCTCCCTCCGCTGTTACACACACACACACGCACGCACGCACGCACACCCTATGAAAAGGCCAGGTGCAGTGGCTGCCACCTGTAATCCCAGCACTTTGGGAGGCCGAGGTGGGAGGATCACTTGAGCCCATGAGTTCCAGACCAACCTGCATAATACACAGAGGCCCTGTCGCTCCAAAAAAAAAAAAAAAAAAAAAAAAGAGCCAGGCATGGTGGTGGGCGCCTGTAGTCCCAACTACTCCAGAGGCTGAGGTGGCAGGATCACTTGAGTCCAGGAGTTCCAGGCTGCAATGAGCCCTGATCTGCCACTGTGTTCCAGCCTGGAGACAGAGCCAGACACTGCCTCCTAGTAATCATCATCATCATCATCATCATCCCACAAGAAAAGTATCTTACAAAGTCACATTTACTCAGGTATTTAATAAAGTATATTAAACTGATATTGGTAGAAAATACAGGATATATGGTTACCATGTCTAACACAAAAGCTATTTAATGTGGGAGCAAGAACTTTACATAGGGAATCAGGAGACGACTAACTAAAGATGGAGCTTTGGACAAGTCATTTAATTTCGCTGAATATCAAGTACCTCTTTTGAAAAATGGTGGGACTGAACAAAACATTAAGTGATTTTTTCAAGGCTCCTTTCAGGTCTACGATTCTGAGTTTCTGTAGAGTAGAAGGAAAGTATACAAGCTAAGACCATGCTATCATTCATCAGCCCTGTTTCCCTTAGATAAAATGTGTCCCAAGTGGCTAGTATGTGATCTTCTCTATCTGGTTCACTACCTCTTCTTGGCTCCACTTTCACTATATCACAGTAAATTGTTAAAGTAGAAATGGATGGGTCGTGTGTGTGTGTGTGTGTGTGTTACACACACACACACACACATATATATATTTGAGACAGAGTCTAGCTCTGTCACTCAGGCTGGAGTGCAGTGCTGCGATTTTGGCTCAGTGCAACCTCCATCTCCTGGGTTTAAGCTATTCTTCTGCCTCAGCCTTCCAAGTAGCTGGGATTACAGGAGTGTGCCACTATACTCAGCTAACTTTCGTATTTTTAGTAGAGATGGGGTTTCACCATGTTGACCAGGATGGCCTTGAACTCTTGACTTCAGGTGATCTGCCCGCCTCAGCCTCCCAAAGTGCTGGGATTACAGGTGTAAGCCACTGTGACTGGCCAGGATTGTATTTTCTAATTAAAAATTGGCACATGTATTAATTCAGGAAACGGGGGGGGGAGGCAAAACACACATACACACAAATACTCATAATCTTACCACTCAAAAAAAAAAATCTCACCACTGTCCTATTACTTTTCTGAATGTGTGTGGATATGTATACATACATATATATGTATATATGTATATGTACATATACATATCCATGCACATTTATATATAAAATGTTATAACAGTCTGCTGTTATAAAAAAAGCAGTTGGCTTTTTTCATTTTATAGGTACATGCATTTCCAACTGGAATACCCACAATGATATGTCCACATCCCAAAAAGCTATCAGAAGCTAAGCAAGCACGGCTACATAGATTTTGGAATAGCTATACTTATGTTATACCCTAGGTTATTCTTACTCTTTCTCTTTACTCCAGAATGGATTGGTTTCACTGCAACCAGTGCTTCCGAAAAGATGGAGCCCATTTCTTTGTCACCAGCTGCGGCCATATTTTCTGTAAAAAGTGTGTGACTCTGGGTGAGTGACTCAACTGTTTTCAGATTCAAGGAAAAATGTTTTCATGTAAGGATTAGCCATTTCTGTGTGTGACTTAGAATAAAAATCACTTATTAGGTCAATGGTGATACAGATACTATAGGAAACTGTCAATTTTAGAAATTGAAGGAATCCATTAATAAAGAATGGTGCTAAATTATTTAGCAAATCTATTACTTGAGGACCAAAATGTACTCATTAGTGTTTTGACGTCTGGCAGGAAAGGCCACAAGGCATCAGACTCTTCAGGGAAAAGAGAATAAGTATAATGGATAGGAATAGAGGAAAGTTTGGCTGATAGAAGAGCCATTTCTTTTCTTTTCTTTTTTTCTTTTGGAGATGGAGTCTTGCTCTGTCACCAGGCTGGAGTGCAGCGGCACAATCTCAGCTCACTACAACCTCTGCCTCCTGGGTTCAAGCGATTCTCCTGGCTCAGCCTCTTGAATAGTGGGATTACAGGTGCGCGCCACCATGCTCGGCTAATTTTTGTATTTTTAGTAGAGACGGACTTTCACCATGTTGGCCAGGCTGGTCTCAAACTACTGACCCCGTGATCTGCCCACCTCAGTCTCCCAAAGTGCTGGGGTTACAGGCGTGAGCCGCTGTGCCCAGCCTAGAAGAGCCATTTCTAAAGGGGAAGTGGTCTAGTCTGTGACATCAGTTTGATTTGAAATGATGATACCTTTGCAGCTTAAAAAGCAGTTTCATATGTACCATTTTATGTAATCCTCACCACAAGTCCAGGTGGTAATTATTAGTAGAACCATTTTGCAAATGAGGAGACTGGCTCAGAGAGGATAACTGATATGAGCAAGTTCTCATTGCTATTAAGTCTTAGAAAGGAGACTTAGGCCGGGCTCAGTGGCTCAAGCCTGTAATCCCAGCACTTTGGGAGGCCGAGGCGGGAGCCTGAGGCAGGAGAATTGCCTGAACCCAGGAGGCGGAGGTTGTGGTGAGCTGAGACCGCGCCATTGCACTCCAGCCTGGGTAACGAGAGCGAAACTCCGTCTCAAAAAAAAAAGAAAGGAGACTTAAATTTAAGTTTTTTTGTTTGTTTGTTTGTTTTAATGCTGCAATACTTACAAGGCATGTAAATCCCCAGAAGAGGGACTTGGGGTAGGGTGCTTTGATCATGGAAGAGTGATCACTTCACAGAAAGAGAGATGCTTAAATAGGATTTTGAATGATAAACCAGAGTTTGCCAAGTGGATAAAGCAGGGAAGATTTATTCTAGTTTAAGAGAACAGCATGTTTAAAGACATATTACATCATTAAACCATATTGCAGGGAACTACACATAGTTGGGATTGGTACAGCATAAGCAGTAATGTAAGAAGTGGTGAGATAAGGCTAGTAAAGTAGGCAGTGTCCAGATGATGGAAAGCTCTATACACTGGGCTAAAGAGCCTGAAATTCATCCTGCAAGTGATGGAGACCTGTGGAAGTTTTTGTTTTGTTTTGTTTTGTTTTTGAGACAGTCTCACCTCATTGCCCAGGCTGGAAAACAGTCACAAAATCTTGGCTCACTGCAACCTCTGCTTCCCAGGTTCAAGCAATTCTCGTGTCTCAGCCACTTGAGTAGCTGGGATGATAGGTGTGCACCCCTATGCCTGGCAAACTTTTGTATTTTTAGTAGAGACAGGGTTTTACCACATTGGCCAGGCTGATCTTGAACTTCTGGCCTCAAGTGGTCCACCTGCCTCCGTCTCCCAAAGTGCTGGGATTACAGGTGTGAGCCTTTTTTTTTTTTTTTTTTTTTTTTTTAAGAGAAGAATGATATGCACTTGCTAGCTCACTCTGGCAACAATATGGACTGCGAAAAACCTTTAGTCCCCAGATAAAGAACAGTCAAGTTAAGTAGCCTCTGGGGAAGCTTTTTTTCTCTGTGCAAATCTCAGGACCTTTTAAAGTTGTCTGCTAGTGTAAAAAGCTGTTTACTATGGTAACAGCAGCTCACTTTGGAGTGGTTTGTCTCTGTGGAGCATATGCCATGTGATGTTTTCTCCTGACATGGCATTTGTCTTAATCAATAACCAGTCCCACTACTAAAATTTCACTTTACTGTGAAAGATTAGGAATCTCAGTTTTTGCTTCTTTCAGATTGAGTTAATTGGGGAATGAGAGTCGCAGAGCAAGATTAACAAATATTAGCAAAGTGATGACAAGGCAGGGATAATTGGGGAGTTTCTTACAGTACTCAATGTGTGCCTGCTGTCAGGTCAACGGAATAAAAAGAGTAACTTGAAGTTAAGGTCTTTGGTATTTTGTACTCTTCCCTATTCTTGTAAATGTACTCCAGTACTTTTGCTGGGAGTTTAGAATTGTCCCTTCTGTCCCACAGAAGAAAACTGGGAATTTACAAAAAGATGGGGTGGGGAGTGCTGAGATGGTGGCTCATGCTTATAAATGCAGCACTTTACGGGGGCCAAGGTAGGAGGTTACTTGAGCCCAGGAGTTCAAGACCAGCTTGGGCAACATAGGGAGACCCCCCATCTCTAAAGATAATAACAAAATAAAAATTGACTTAAGTGATGGTGTGCACCTGTGGTCCCAGCTAGTTGGGAGGCTGAAGCAGGAGGATCACTTGAGCCCGGGAGGCTGAGGCTGCAGTGAGCAGTAATTGTGCCACTGCATTCCAGCCTGGGTGACAGAGCAAGACCCTGTCTCAAAACAAATGTAAAATAAAAACATAAAAGATAGAGAGATGGGTAGAGGTACAGTGTGAAAGCCCTTCTTGTAGCTCAACATACTAGTTTGGAAACACTTGTTTAGAGAACAGAGCTTAAGTTGATGTCCTTTTATAGCACAATGATGTTCTAAATTCAGTAAGAACCCTTTTTTTCTTCTCTTGCTAGCATACTAGATTGTTGCCATGTACTTTGAGTCTTTAAATCTTACCTCATGCTCATAAGAACCCAACATTTTTATCCCCCTTTTCCTCCCAGAAAAATGTGCTGTTTGCGGAACTGCTTGCAAGTATCTGGCTCTTTCTGATAATGTAAGTTTTTCTCCCCTGCCACAAACCATCTCATTCAACTTCTGGCCTGTAGGAAGTATACGCAAAGTACAGATGATGAATTCTTTTAAAAAGAAAGAAAAGAAGGCTGGGCGCGGTGGCTCATGCTTGTAATCCCAGCACTTTGGGAGGCTGAGGCAGGTGGATTGCCTGAGCTCAGGAGTTTGAGAACACCCTGGGCAACATGGTGAAACCCCGTCTCTACTAAAATATGAAAAATTAGCCAGGCATGGTGGTCCAGGCCTGTAATCCCAGCCACTTGGGAGTCTGAGGTACAGGAATCACTTTAGCCCAGGAGGTAGAAGTTGCAGTGAGCCCAGATTGCACTGTTGTACCAGAGCGAGCATAGAAAATTAACACCAAGACAAAAGTATGCTGAATTGCAGGGTCTTTATTGCTGGTGGCCACAGAGGACTTACATCTCTCCAACCTGTGGCCCTGAAAGGAGGGTGTCAAGGCCTTTTATGCCCATAAACTACCTTCTGGGCAGTGGTGGGGGCGAGGGGCTTCGTTCCAAAGGTCAGTGGACTTTGGTCATTCTGTAAACCACCTCCTGGGTGGGGGTGAGGGTGAGGGGCTTCAGACATTCCAGTTGTTACTTAAGTGGTTCACAGAAGTTAAGATAAGCCTTAGTTTACACATTGCCTGGGTAGGGTGGAAATTACAGACCTTAGTTACTTATTACAAGTCGCAGGGACCACGATGGCGTGGGTTTGGACTGCTTGCCTGTCACCTTAGGGTTACAGAGAGCAGTTTAAACAGAAAGCCGAGGTATGGTTGAGGTATGCAGTTTTATGGGGCTTTTACCATGTCATGTTCCCCCTTGTTTTATTTACAGGAGCCGAAGTATAGTTAAGGTATGCAGTTTTATGGGACTTTTACCATGTCACAGCACCACTGTGCTGCTCCAGCTTGGGCTACAGAGTAAGACTGACAGACAGATGGAAAGAAGGAAAAAAGGAAGGAAGGAAGGAAGAAAAGAGAAAGAAGAGAGAAAGAGAGAAAAGAAAGAGAGAAGGAAGGAAGGAAGGAAAGGGAGAAAGAGAAAGAAAAGAGAATAAAAGAAAAGAAACAAACTTGCAGATAGTAGTTTGTAGAGTATGAACAGGCCAGCTGCAGAGGCTCACACCTGTAATCCCAGCACTTTGGGAGGCCGAGGTGGGTGGATCATGAGGTCAGGAGTTGAGACCACCCTGGCCAACACAGTGAAGCCCCGCCTTACTAAAAATACAAAAATTAGTTGGGCATGGTGGCAGGCGCCTGTAATCCCAGCTACTTGGGAGGCTGAGGCAAAAGAATAACTTTAACCCAGGAGGCAGAGGCTGCAGTGAGTCGAGATTGGGTCACTGCACTTCAAACTGGGCAACAGATTTTTTTCTGTATCAAGAAAAAAAAAAAAAAAAGTATAAACAACAGGTAGAAGCATTATTTGTGAACACTGTTACAGAAGCACAAGATAAGGAGATTTGGACATGTGATCTACATTGAGAACAGTAGTGATCTCCCTCTTAAACACAGTGGAAATAATACCAGGTACATTAGAAAAGGTGGTACATCCTTTGTCATATTAGTATTTTTATTCCATTGTGTTTCTCTCTTCCTAGCTGAAACCTCAGGAGAAGATGTTTTTCAAAAGTCCTGTGGAGACAGCTTTGCAGTATTTTAGTCACATCTCTCAGGTATGAGAAACAAAAGCAAAGAAAATCTGATTCTCCAGGGAAATTGTAATTGCATCTTATTCCTTTATCAAAGGTTTTCTTCACTGAGCACAGTGGCTCACACCTGTAATTCCAGCACTTTAGGAGGCCCAGGTGGGCTGAACCTTGGAGGTCAGGAGTTCCAGACTAGTCTGACCAACATGGTGAAATCCCGTCTCTACTAAAAATACAGAATTAGCCAGGCATGGTGGCACATGCCTGTAATCCCAGCTACTTGGGAGGCTGAGGCAGGCCTCCCAGGAGGCGGAGGTTGCAGTGAGCCAAGATTGCACCATTGCACTCCAGCCTGCGCAATAAGAGCAAAACTCCCCATCTCAAAAAAAAAAAAAAAAAAAAAGGGTGGGGTTTCTTTAAACTGCATTTGTACACAGTAGAGGGAGATGACTGCTCTCTTTGCTTTCTTCCTTGATACAAATTTCGATCAGTTAAATTTTTACTACCCAGAATCTGTGATAGGCTGTAAAAGCCACTGTGTAGCTAACATCTTACCTTGTATTTCCTAGTTGTATCAATTAATTTCTTTTTTTTTTTTTTTTTTTTTTGAGACGGAGTTTCGCTCTTGTTACCCAGGCTGGAGTGCAATGGCACGATCTCGGCTCACCACAACCTCCGCCTCCTGGGCTCAGGCAATTCTCCTGCCTCAGCCTCCTAAGTAGCTGGGATTACAGGCATGCACCACCACGCCCAGCTAGTTTTTTGTATTTTTAGTAGAGACGGGGTTTCACCATGTTGACCAGGATGGTCTCGATCTCTTGACCTCGTGATCCACCCGCCTCGGCCTCCCAAAGTGCTGGGATTACAGGCTTGAGCCACCACGCCCGGCCTCGTATCAATTAATTTCTAAGACTAAAGATTTTTCTAGGGAGCATTTTTTTTTTTTTTTTTTTGAGATGGAGTTTTGCTCTTGTTGCCCAGTCTGGAGTGCAGTGGCGCCATCTCGGCTTACCATAACCTCCGCCTCCCGGGTTCAGGTGATTCTCCTGCCTCAGCCTCCTGGGTAACTGAGATTACAGGCATGCGCCACCATGCCCGGTTATCTAGAGAGCTTATCATCTTTCTCAGCAGATAGATGCATCTTCTAAAAATTGCTTTGAGTATATAGGCCTGACCCTGAAAACAATGGGTTTGATGGTTTAACTCTCAACCATTACCTTATAGCACTAAGTTCATAAGAGTATTTCTTGTTTCCCATTCTCACTTTTCAATAACCCTATTTAGTAATACTTAGCTCTTCATTTAATGTTCATAACTCGTTGCCTGAATTTTAGAAAATATTTGTCTTTTCTTGATGCATGATAGGTTGGCATACAATTGACTTGGTTAGGAGCAATAGGAATGTAGAAGGCAGAGAGAAGGCAGGACAACCATTTGAGAGAGTTGTCAAGTTGTAAAAACTTTGTTTTTTTTTTTCTACTCCCCAGTTCTCTTAGAGTATTTTATAGCCTCATAGAATTCCTACCTTGGCATATTTCTTGAGATTTTATCACTGTTCCCTTTCTATACTCTTACTTCTTATTCTTTTTTTTTTTTTTTGAGGCGGAGTTTCGCTCTTGTTACCCAGGCTGGAGTGCAATGGCGCGATCTCGGCTCACCGCAACCTCCACCTCCTGGGTTCAGGCAATTCTCCTGTCTCAGCCTCCTGAGTAGCTGGGATTACAGGCAAGCGCCACCATGCCCAGCTAATTTTTTGTATTTTTAGTAGAGATGGGGCTTCACCATGTTGACTGGGATGGTCTCGATCTCTTGACCTCCTGATCCACCCGTCTCAGCCTCCCAAAGTGCTGGGATTACAGGCTTGAGCCACCGCGCCCGGCCGCCACTTCTTATTCTTTTGAAAGTGCCCCTTTACTAAACCTGAAGATGATCCTTAGTCATTTTCTGGTTGAAGATTTAATTTTTCTTCAATGTCCTGCCTCTCAGTCTTCACACTAGAGATAGAATAAGGGGAATTAAGGCTTGGTGCCTGCTGCCTTTAGCTGCTTGGTTGAGCCATCATATTTGACATATACTATATTTAACATTATAAGGCGACTAAAATCCAGCTGAGACTCAAGGAGAAATGTAAACAAGGTCATAGGAACAAGAAAAAGAGCAGACCTTTGGTTAATAAATAAACCTGGGCTTAGTTAATGATCAGTAGGGAAATCATATGTAGTCTGAATCCTAACCTGCCTGATCATGGGACCAATTACACATGGTCAAATAATCAAGATAAAATAAGTGGAAAGAGTTAGTTAATCATCACTTTAGTGAAGGGCCAGTTTGGTGAAGTCAGCAAAGTCTGAAAATGTGTTTTCCTCATTTGTATAGCTAAGTAACTGATCCAATACCTAGATTGTATCATTCAGGATTCTGCTTGAAACCTTCTCAGTCAGTCCTTTAGTGACTCTCATATTTCAAATAGTAGCCCCAACATTTTCTACTCCTTACCATGCTTTTTCTTCATCATAGCTCTTTTCTCTAACATTATGTTATATATTTGTTGTCTGAATCCTGCACTAGAATGTAAGCTCCATGAAGACAGAATTGATTGGTTTTGTTTATTGTTCTCTTTTAATAGTCCTTAATAAGTAGTGGACATTCAAAATGTTGTCATTGAATGAATGAATGAAATGTTGCTCTAAATATCGATTTAAGTTTTTACAATCTCCAATCTCTACAATGACTTAAGGCCATTTTTCTGCTGTACTCTGTGCTAATAGTTGATCAAGCTGCCTGTTTTGAATTCTTTACTCACCTCAAGATAATCTTTCTAAGGGATTGGAGGACCTCATATAGATCTGTTAGTTTTCTTTCTTTTATTTTGGGCAGGGGTAGATGGAGTCTCCCTCTTGTCACCCAGGCTGGAGTGCAGTGAGGGCAATCTCAGTGCACTGCAACATCTACCTCCTAGGTTCAAGTCATTCTCCTGCCTCAGCCTCCTGAGTAGTTGGGACTACAGGTGTGAGCCACCACGCCTAGCTAATTTTGTATTTTCAGTAGAGATGAGATTTTACCATGTTGACCAGGCTGGTCTCGAACTCCTGATCTCAGGTGATCCACCCACCTCGGCCTCCCAAAGTGCTGGGATTACAGGCGTGAGCCACCATGCCTGGCCTGTAAGTTTTCATCTATTCCTAGATCATATGCTTTAGACCCTTAACCACAACTAGCCATCTTTCAAGTCCATGCCAGTAATTGTTCCTTCCTTGGTAAAAGCCTTCCCTGATTCCTCTTAACTCTACAAAATACTTAACTCTGAAAAAGTGTTTTATTTAATTAATTTATTTATTTATTAATTTTTGAGACAGGGTTTCGCTTTTGTTTCCCAGGCTGAGTGCAGTGGTGCGATCTCGGCTCACTACAGGCTCCACCTCCTGGGTTCAAGCAATTCTCCTGCCTCAGCCTCCTGAGTAGCTGGGATTATAGGTGTACCACAACACCTGGCTAATTTTTTGTATTTTTAGTAGAGTTGGGGTTTCGCCATATTGCCCAGGCTGGTCTCGAACTCCTGACCTCAGGTGATCCACCCACCTCAGCCTCCCAAAGGGCTGGGATTACAGAAGTGAGCCACCATGCCCGGCCAAGTGTTTTATTTTAATTTAATTTTTCTTATTTCTCTTTCTCTCACTTAACTTATTTCTATTATTTCTTATTTCTCTTTCTCTCAGTGAAGTTTCTCAAAGGCAGATATCATCTTCATGTCACCCAATGTTTACCTAGGTACTTGGCACAAATTGCATGCATAAGAAATGTTTGCTAAATGAACTAATACGCATTAAGGCTTTTTTTTTTTTTTTTTTTTTTTTTTTGGTGGAGTCTTGCTCTTGTTGCCCAGGCTAGAGTGCAATGGCACAATCCCAGCTCACTGCAACCTCCGCCTCCTGAGTTCAAGCAATTCTCCTGCCTCAGCCTCCCAAGTAGCTGGGATTACAGATGTGTACCACCATGCCCAGCTAATTTTTTGTATCTTTTTTTTTTTTTTTTTAGACAGAGTTTCGCTCTTGTTACCCAGGCTGGAGAGCTATGGCGCGGTCTTGGCTCACTGCAACCTCTGCCTCCTGGGTTCAGGCAATTCTCCTGCCTCAGCCTCCTGAGTAGCTGGGATTACAGGCACGTGCCACCATGCCCAGCTAATTTTTTGTATTTTTAGTAGAGACGGGGTTTCACCATGTTGCCCAGGACGGTCTCGATCTCTTGACCTTGTGATCCACCCGCCTCGGCCTCCCAAAGTGCTGGGATTATAGGCGTGAGCCACTGCGCCCTGCCTAATTTTTTGTATTTCTAACAGAGACAGTGTTTCGCCATGTTGGCCAGGCTGGTCTCAAACTCCTGACCTCATGATCTGCCTGCCTCAGTCTCCCAAAGTGCTAGGATTACAGGCATGAGCCTATAAGAGGGGAGAATATTCAAGGCAAGATCAGAGAGGAAGACTTGATCATATAGGTACTTATAGGCCACAAGAAGGTGTTTATATTTCTAAGAGCAGTGGGACACCACTGAAGGGTTTTACACAAGGAAATGGCATCTGTTATATGATTTTAAAAGAGAATCTGGCTGCTGACTAGAAAATGAACAATAGGAGAGATTAAGATAGAAGCAGGGAAACCAGTTAGGAAGCCACAGGAAAAATCTAAGCAAGATTGCTTGGGCTAAAGCGGTAGAAATAGAAATGGAGAAGAGGGCCAGGCATGGTGGCTCACGCCTGTAATCCCAGCACCTTGGGAGGCAAAGGTGGGCAGATCACCTGAGGTCAGAAGTTCGAAACCAGCCTGGCCAACATGGTGAAACCCCATCTCTACTAAAAATACAAAAATTAGCCAGGCATGGTGGTGGGCACCTGTAATCCCAGCTACTTGGAAGGCTGAGGAAGGAGAATTGCTTGAACCCAGAAAGTGAAGTTTACAGTGAGCCGAGATCGAGCCACTATACTCCAGCGTGGGCGACAGAGTGAGACTCTGTCTCAAAAAATAAAATAAAAT